TGGGGGTCGTCTCTGGCCCAGTCAGGGTGGCCGAGACAGGCCGACCGCCGTGGTGTGCACGCGGATGTCCTCCGACGATGCCGCTGTGCACAACACGTTCACGGATCACGTTAGTGTGCACAGAAACGTCCTCGGAACACGCCGCTGTGCACGGAGGCATTGTGTGAATCCACCACACTACACATAGTTATTTCTGAGCCGTCTTCTATGCACGTCTGTGCGGGTACACGTACCTACATCAGCACGCGCTTCCGGCATGCGGACGACTCTCCAGCTTCCCTCCGCTGTGTAGAGAGGACGCTCCGTGAATGTGATAGACGTCTTGCTGTAGCGCTGTAGTACAATGTTGTGTTGGCGTCGTCCTCGGCGGATACTTAAACCGTCGGTAGGCGTGGTAAGTTTTTATGATCTGAAGAGGACGTGGCGTTGTTTTAAGTGTCGTTTCTTTTTGTACTCACTTTAGTTCCTGCCAGCACGGATGTTTTAAGACGGTAGCTAGTGTTGAGGTACGTTCCTGTTGCACCGGCGTTTATATTCACCCATTTCTCGTGCGGTACGGCGTGATCTGGCACATCCTGAGACTTGATTAACCCACGAGTTTTACGTCACCACGTCCCGCGAGCCATGCACTGCTGCCAGCTCCGCGAAGGCGGGGTAAAGACGCTTGGAAGGGCGACGGCTTTCTCTGTGACGGAAGGCTTGCCAAGTTGCTGCTAGCATTTGTGTACCTGTGACGTTCCTGTTGCCCTGTGAGCGGCGGCTCCATAAGCCGCACCGTAACCAATTGGCCCGATGTGGCAGGCATACTGTCGTCCAGCGTAGGACGACAGATGAGACATTTAGCAAGCTAGCCGTGCGTTGTGCTGAGTTGGACTCCACAACCGGCTCGTGCGTCACCGGCGCACGGGTCCTAAGATCTGCGCCGCATCAGTCAGGTCTGATTTATGTTCTAGTCCTCTCTGTAGGGTTGTTCGTTCTAGCTCGGAACGTAGTCGTACCCGTTGAGTTGGCGATGTCATGATTATTTGTCGAGCGTATCTGTTTATTTCTTGTACACGTTTTCGAAGTTGCAATGAAATAAACGTCATCTAACATTTGTCCGTCTGTTGTCGCACGTTCGGGTCAGAAGCCGCAACGTGACAGTCGTTGCTTGCGCCGTCCGTATCATCTCAGCCACATGCTCAGACGGCGGGCCCACCTTGCCGATCGTGCGCAGGTGGACGCCATGCGGCATTCAGACTGGATGTGCTCGCCGGGCGACTCCAGGCATCACGCGCATTTCGAAGTAGAGTTTTGCTGCACTGCAATACCGCCTTGCCTCCACGGCTTGGCTGAACGCTTGAGGCTCGGCGGGTCGTGTCCCCCCGGACCCACTGTTGGTATGGCGTGTCGGCGGCTGTCCCGCCAGGCCCCGTGCTACTCCCACCGGCGGTCACCAAGCCCGCCGCTGGGGTCTTCACAGGCCCGCCAACAGCAACTGGGCGCCGGTGGCCGAAGGGCGCCGCCGCTGGCATGATCATAGACGGAGACTTCTTACAAAGGGCAGAGCGCACGCTAGCTGCAAGCCGACCATGCCTTACAAAGGGCAGAGCGCGCGGTAGCCGTAAGGCGACCGTGTCTTACAAAGGGCAGAGCGCGCGCTAGCCGTAAGCCGACCGTGTCTTACAAAGGGCAGAGCGCGCGCTAGCCGTAAACCGACCGTGTCTTACAAAGGGCAGAGTGCGCGCTAGCCGTAAGCCGACCTTGTTGGTAGTTGCTCTGGTTGTTTATTTCCCTCGCGGTAAGTTACAGCACCGCTAAGTTCTGAGACGCCTAACGGCATTGTCAGTATGGTGCAATAACAGAGCGTTTCATTCCGTAATATGTTTAGGGAAATCAAGACAAGGCCTGACCACATGCTGAGGCCTCCCGAGCCCGCACGCAAGGCTGACCAGGGGTGCCGCGCCCGCGGTTTCGATTTGAGGTCGGCTCAGCAAAGTGCTCGGTCAAGTGAAGCGCGGGCTACGGTCATCGACAGCCTGGTCAGGTCAAGTGCGGGCTACGGTCATCGACAGCTCGGTCAGGTGAAGTGCGGGCTACGGCCATCGACAGCTTGGTCAGGTGAAGTGCGGGCTACGGCCATCGACAGCTCGGTCAGGCTAAGTGCGGGCTACGGTCATCGACAGCTCGGTCAGGCCAAGTGCGGGCTACGGTCATCGACAGCTCGGTCAGGTGAAGTGCGAGCTACGGTCATCGACAGCCTGGTCAGGCCAAGTGCGGGCTACGGTCATCGACAGCTCGGTCAGGTGAAGTGCGGGCTACGGCCATCGACAGCTTGGTCAGGTCAAGTGCGGGCTACGGTCATCGACAGCTCGGTCAGGCCAAGTGCGGGCTACGGTCATCGACAGCTCGGTCAGGTGAAGTGCGGGCTACGGTCATCGACAGCCCGGTCAAGTGAAGTGCGAGCTACGGTCATCGACAGCCTGGTCAGGTCAAGTGCGAGCTACGGTCATCGACAGCCCGGTCAAGTGAAGTGCGAGCTACGGTCATCGACAGCTCGGTCAGGTCAAGTGCGGGCTACGGTCATCGACAGCTCGGTCAGGTGAAGTGCGGGCTACGGCCATCGACAGCTTGGTCAGGTCAAGTGCGGGCTACGGTCATCGACAGCCCGGTCAGGTCAAGTGCCGGCCAAGAGTCGCGTCCAGACGTTCAGTCGCTTTAACAGCCGTGTCATATGTGGGGGGTTATACAGAGACAGTTACAAGTTGTATCATCGTCTACAATATCGCATGACTATATCGGCAGAATTTACTGTACGAGTCTTAGGCAGCGTGGCGATAACATCTGTTCGCGACTTCAAACATCATAAGATTAATGTAGAGCCTACTACTGTTTGGTGTGTAATTAGCACGGCCGTAAAATACACTCTGTCAGCATTTTCACTCACGTTAGGCAGACGGAGATCAATCCACTCAAGTCGAAAAAGTTCGAACCCAGCTTACCGTTAGGTCCATGATCTGAACAGACAGTCACAGGCTGCCCCACTGGTGCTATCGGTGGTGTAAACGATGCTGATGGTGATGGTGATCAGGCCCGCTGGTGATTCGACCCGCTGACCCGGTCGTTCCAGCGGTGGTTCCGGCATGGACAGCGCCCGTCAGGTCACCGGCTCGACCGAGCCTGATCGCGAGCACAGATCGGCCCATCTGACCACTCAGTGAGCGGTAGCTCCGGGCCAGCTGACGACCCGGTGAACGGTGGCTCCCGGTTCAGCTGACGACTCGGGAAACGGTAGCTCAGGGCCAGCTGACGACTCGGTGAACCGTGGCTCCGGGCCAGCTGACGACTCGGTGAACGGTAGCTCCGGGCCAGCTGACGACTCGGCAAATGGTAGCTCTGGGCCAAAGGCATAGTATCACAAAATGACTTGGGGTGGGGGAGGGGGAGAGGGGTGGGAGGCTTGTAAGAAATGATCTAATCTACAACCAGAATGTGCCAATAAACTTAGCTGTCCCCAGATGTGGCCTACTTTCTTCCCAAATGTGTGTGTGGGGGGGGGGGGGGCGCTCTAGCCCAAGTTTGGAGGGAAGTCTGAAGCCTGCTTCTCAACTGAACAGGAAACGCACCCTTCTCCCGGCTCCAGCTGACGACTCGGTAGATGGTAGCTCTTGGACCCAGCAAACGACTCGATAATTCGCGGGCCCAGGTTCGGGCAACGGCTGTTAGATGACGTCAGCACGAGTGCAACCGAGCGGGCCTGCAATAACAAGACCTTGCAAGCGGTTGCGACAAACGATTTGCGGACGCATCGACTGGCGGTGTTGGTTTTGTTGAGCTACGGTATGCCAGATCATCTGCTGGTAACCACCGTGGCATGCTTAGAGGCACAGTTTCCCATTCACTTGGGGGCTCCAGGCCTCCCCCGCAACTTGGGCTCCAGAGCCCCTCCCCCGCCAAACTTTCACAAGAAAATGGGCCAAATCCAGAGAGAAACCCATTTCTTGATGCCTTTCGGGAGAAGTTTTCGTCATTTTCCACCGTTTAGCCGCCCTCCCGCCCAACGCTTTTTGCAAAACTTTGCTCCTGGCTGTGATGCAGGGCTCAGCCCGACTCCGGTTACTTCTTCCGCTGGTTGGCACAGAATGTGAGCCTCCGGCACTCTGGCAGGATCACTTGCATCTGACCATCCCATATGTATACCATGCATACGCGACATGGTAGTGATTCGGAGGTCCGAAGGGAGAATTGATTGTGAATTGGAAAGAAGTGATTCGGAAGATTAGGACAATTGACGGGCAGTATGCAAGGATATATTTCCAACGTGGAGCCTCCACGGAACGGTATGGGACATGACACCACTCGCCAGGGCCGTTGACAACGGGGCACTTCGGGGGCGGCGACCGCGTGATTGCGCGGCGTTTGGTCGCCTACGTCAGAACTCTCTGTCCATCGTCCGAACATCCGCTACAGCCTATGTCAGGCCGCCTACGGCCTGGTTCTTCTGCAAACCGATTCCCAGTTGAGCCAGTGCAGCCAGGAACCTTCCAGGACTAAATGTTCTCAAAACGCTGTGTTGGCTGTAACTCAATTATATTTACAAGGCTTGGGGCCTTTATCTGCTGGGTGTGTCGTGATTACGGTGACTATGAAAAAGCAATCCCAAAATTATTTTAAAGGATATTTTTTGGTTTATTTCTGAGCCATACAAATGAATGTGTAATGTTGGAATCTTACGCTATATCTCAAAATATTTTTTAGCTTGCTGTTTACTGGCTATTGATATACTTTTAATGGAGTTTTTTGCATTTTGCTAAGCAATACTTAATACGAATAGTGCGGCTAGCAGGCAATTTGTTGGTGTAATGCAGGAACCAGCATGCTGGAAGTTAAATAGTGATGAAAGACAACCCACCCAATACATTTTAATTTTTTTGCTCTTTATGCAGTGTTAGATAACTTGTGGCTCTTAATTCACACGAATGCGGTTCAACTTTACACCACTAAACATTTAACCGCTTTACGTCCGCCATTTTCACGCGGCGGCGTGGTGTGTTGTTGAGCAGGGAGGGGTGGTGCGGTTGGTTACGGTTCTTCTTTTTCGCAACACCTTGTTACCCGTAAGTACCTCTATGATTTGTTTGATTTTAATCTTCAAGTGACTTTACATGTTTAATCTAGATAACATTTTTGTCGCGTAACTTGTTGGTTGTTTTCGATGTACCGGCTCGCGCCATGCTCGTCTTTATTCTGTGTACATTGGCGGGTCGATCCCAAATGATGATTTGTTAGGATTTGGACGCAGAGTTATGTTGTACCTCAGGTCTAAGTTCGCTCATAAACCCCGGTCTGCAGAAAACTGGTGTGGGGCGGGGTTACTGCGCGATTTACATACGATGAATTGGTCGCGCGAAGTATGCGGGCGGCAGTGGCGCGAGGCTAAAAAACAATGTTCCGAGAGCCTAATTTCGACCAATTTAGAGTGATGTGCATGAAGATGACTTACTGGATGTGATTTCGAGTGCTTGATACTTATCTCACAAGGGACCACTTGAAGACACTAGTTTGTTTTTGAAGTTATATTCCACATTTTGATGTGGATTTGACATGGACTTAAGAGCAAAAGGCATCACATGAAGTTCATTGAGTAATTATGGTTATCAGTTTAATCTTGGTGATATAATTTGTGCATCATTTATTCATACTCATGCTTAAAAGTTGGGTTAAACCCTCATTAAATATGCGTTTACCTGAATTTTAGCTCTGTTATTAAGGAAATTAATTTGGTCTAAGGTTCTGTACTATTGGTCATATAGCTTACATGCTGTTATCAATGAGCAATACATTGAATACAGCATTTTAAAGGCTTTAATCTTATCCAAATGACTTCTAATTGTATGGTGTAGGTCATCATGTTGGATATTTCAATAATGCAGCAACCACAGTAATGGTTTACAGTTTGATGAACACATTTTCTTGGAACTCCATTGCCTAAACATCACTGTCAGTGCTGCAAATTTGGTAGTGCAAGCAGCAAGATGCTCAAAAGGTCTGATTGATGTGATAGTGCTACAAATTTGGTAGTGTAAGCAGCAAGATGCTCAAAAGGTCTGATTGATGTGATTAAAGCTTAGCACATTATATTTGCTGTTCTATTCCTAGCATCAGCTTAATGTTCCTATTGACCACCCACTTTATTTTTTTTGCAGTAATTTCAATCATAAGATATTTCTGATCATACAAATAAATGATAAATCTTACCTGGTACAGTGCAATGAGGCTGGCATGGCAACCTGTCAGGAAAGAAAAATCACAATAATTAAAATTTAGAGCATTGAGCACACAGACCAAACCATGTATCTCTAGATAAATGCTGTGAAAATATGAGTACATCAGATGAAAGTGCCAAAGCTGTACTCAGAAAAATGTTATGATTGTAGTTGGTGTGTAGCAATCAGCTGGTTGTTTGTAAATCAAAATGACCCCTTTATGTTTTGACATGTTACCTGGCTGGTTTTCAACATGGTTTTCTGGTGTGTGAGTTTGGGTCACTAAACAAATTTTAGTACCCAACTTCCAAACAACATGGTTTCCATGTTGTTTGGGGAATGGTGGCTCACCTAAAATTGCTTTTGTGTGGTTATGTCTAAAACTCCATTTGAATGCCACATGCCCTAGATGTGAACATATCTTACAGCTTGGTGAATGTGGCAACACCTTGGTTTTGCATCATCTCATTGCAAGCAACTTTTGTACAAGTTTTGAAGGCAAGGAAGTTATAATGTCATTTGATGACTACCTGCTCATTTGAAATCAGCATTTACATGAACATGTTCTAAGTTTGACAAGAAAAGATAGGAGTAGTACACCATGTATTGGTTATTTTTTTTGAAAAGTGGACCAGCAGTCATTTGTCAGGCAACAATAAAGCACAAATGTTAAACATACAACAACATTGCATGTTTACTTACTGGAATGTAAGATGCCAGAATCTGAGTTGGGATATGCCTGCTTGCGGTTACCTTGGTAGGCTTTTCACCAGGTTGATGATAGATGACAAGGACATTTGCTGTGATTTAGAATGTGATTCAAGAAAATTGATTAGTAATTTGTGAGATTGGAGACAGCCTTAATGCCATTCCTGGCAGTCCATGTGTAAAAAGATTGCTATGATAAAAATCATGATTTTGCTGTCACTATGGTTTCTGTGGTTGATATATTCATAATTGCTGTAGCATGAGCCTGGGAGTCAATTGACAAGAGCTCCCTGCAGATAGACCAGCACTGTAAGATCACCAATGGTTGCAGAGGCAGCACTGAAATGGCATAACACTCAGGAAAATGAAGCTGTCTGCAATATTTTGTGCAGATTTGGTTCTGTGCCTGAGAAGCCTGTTTTGTAAATATGTCAAGTTTATAAAACTCAGCACATTGCAGGTGATGTGCTGATAAACACATGCACTGGATAATTTGCAGAACATTTGGACCAACAGCATGGTGTTATGGTCCTCCAATGCTTCACCATATTTGGTGTTGTCAAACTTGTATTTTTGCTGCCCCCCCCCCCTTCCCTATTTCAGCAATATTGAAATAGTACTTAACATTTTGCTAGAAATAATCTGTATTCATGCTTCAAAGTTCTAATGTAGAAATTTTACCAACTCCTGCCTGGAAAGCAGCCCTTCTCTCAGTTTTGAGCCCATACAGGAGCAATTTAGAAATCTAGGAAGGCCATTGGCATGTCTAAGCAATGATTGTTAATTAGACTGACATTGCTTTAAAGATGTTATGACTGTGGTGTCTCCATGGCAAGCTTTGATGCACTGGTACTTGAACCACACTTCCCATTTTTATTCATAACTTGTTGGTTTTGAAATTTGAAGTCTGCATTTCTTGTGGCAAACAAAATAAACTGATGTTATTGCTGTAGAGTAATATTTTGTGGAATGAGTTCTTGTTATGGCTGTCATTTTACACTTGTAGATAAAACTGGTTTTCTGCTACAGGACATATCTTATAAAACTGGTTCTCTGTTACAGGACATAACTTCTGTAGTCTCACAAAATGATGCCCACTGTGAGTACATACCTGCTTGCATTCTTTGCCCAAATCACCTAATATATCATTGTCATAGAATTGTGTTGGCCAAGGGTTAAGAATAGCCATCCATACTTCAGATATTGAAATCATGTAGTGGAATGCATTTTTTGAGAACATGGACATGAATGTTACCATGCCATATTTTTTCAGTACTGTGTTGGGGCCACATAATTCATATTCTTTGAGATGTGGTATGTCCGGTTCCCATCTGCACAATGTTCCTTTGCCCGTTCTTTCTGCCTTTGCAAAGGATCTATCACGTGATTCCCGCCTCCAGACAGATGCGGCGCCACAGACCAAGGTGTTTGTGGGCCGGCTGTCGGCGGCCACGAAGTCGCTCGACCTGCGGAAGCTGTTCGAGCGGTACGGCGAGGTGACCGAGTGTGACGTGCTCGGCACGTATGGCTTCGTGCACATGAAGTCGGTGGGCCAGGCCGAGACGGCCATCCAGAAGCTGAACGGCACAGAGCTGCACGGCTCGCGCATCAGCGTCGAGCCGTCCACCGGGCAGAAGGGGCGCGGCGGCGGCCGCGGCCGCGGCGGCGGGCCCATGCGCGGCATGCGCGGTGTCGGCGGCTACCGGGGACGCGGCGGCGACCGGTTCGAGCCGTACAGCCGCTCCTACCCGCCGGCAGACGGGTGCGTACGGCCCTCGCTCCGCCGACTTAGGTCAGGGCCCGTCTGTTGTTTACATATGCTGGCACTGTAGAGGCTGGCAATGTTCAGCTTTTCCGGTGAGGACTAGTTAACAGAGCAACCAGGGCGTTCACCTCTGGAGTAGTTGACAGTTGGTGACCAATAGATTGTCCATTATCGCACTAGTGCTCACTCGCCATTATCTTGCATTAGGCTCTCATTTTTGGAATTGTTCTCGTCACGCCGCAGTTATGGCGGCGGATACGGCGGCGGGGGTGGCTACGGCGACGGCTACGCCAACAGCTACGGCAACAGTTACGGCAACAGCTATGGCAACGGCTACGGGGCGAGCTACGGCAACGGTTACAGCATGGACCGGCGTCCTCCGCCGGTGCGCACAGCCGTCGGCGGCTATTACGACGACTACGAGCGGCGCGACCCGTACGCGCGGTCGCCGGCGCCGCGGCCCGCCTACGACGCCTACGACCGGCGGCCGCCGCCGCGCGACCCGTACGCCGCATCTGGCTACGACACGCGCGCCCAGACCGGCTATGAGCGACGCGATGACTACAACGACATGTACAGCCGCCGCTCGCCGCCGCGCTACCAGGCCGAGGCGGCGCCGGCGCGTGGCTACGATGCGTACGACCGCTACGCAGCGGCGCCGCGCGGCGCCAGCCCGCCCAGACGGTGAGTACCCGGCGCTGGCTGGCCGCTGGCTGGCTGCTGGCTGGCTGCTGGCTGGCTGCTGCTGCGGGAGAGGCGATCGGGTCGGGTCGGGTCGCTGGCTTCTCGTCGCGCCGCGGTGGGCGCCGAGAGCGCGCGGGGTCCGGCGGCGTCCCGTACTCGGCAGGGTGAGTTGGTCGAGGCTGGGACAGCGGGCGCGGGCCCTGCTGTCGTCCCAGAGCGCGGCGAGGACGTTAATTGCGGTAAGCGAAGGCTGTTGCCTCGTGGACAGCGCGCTCGGACCGGTGGGGTTGCGAGCGCCCATCGTCCCGCGCGTGACACGGTGTGCTGAAGCCTGCAGAGTGCTTGGTCGGAGCGCCGCGCCGGCAGCAGGGGCGGAGCGCCGCGCCGGCTCGGGACTGCGGTGTGGTCTGCGGAGGCGGATGACGAGGCGCCTGGGCTGCGGAGCGGACCGAGGTCCGTGGCGGACGGCGGAGTGCCGACGCTGCGGCTCTGATTGAGGGGCTGAGAGCGCCGCTCATGTGCCGGAGTCGGAGGCGGAGCCGGGAGGGGGCGGCGCAGCGCAGCGCCGTGGGCTCTCGCCACGGCCTGCCCGACTATCACCGCTGTCTCTGTCGTTCTAGCTATGCGCCCCAGCACCGTGAACTGACTACGGTGCGCAGGTACTAAGCGACGCGGCTCGCGCGTGCGCACACGCCCGATTTGCGTGCGGCCAGGTGGGTGGCCGGCCGGCCAGCAGTGGCAACGTGGCAACGTGGCGACACAAGAGTGAAGTCGCGGAAGAGCGGCCTCCTCGGCGGGTCCTCCTCGGCTCGCCAGACGTTCCCCCTTTTCGCTTCGTCTCGTAATATAGCTTCATGTGTATCCCCCTTCATGTGTCGGGGCGAGGCGGCGCCGCCCCCCAAATAAACTGCACATTCACCGAAGCTGGCGTGTCGTCTGCGGAGGCGAGATTTGGCGGTAGCGAGAGCGGCGGTGGCGGCGACGGCGGCGGAGCGACCCGCGGCGAGCGTGTCTCGCGGCAAAGCGACCGCAGCAGTGATCAGCAGCGACCGATCCGACCCTGGTGCGCCCTAGTCCGACCCGACCCGACCCCACCCGACCCGACCCCACCCGAGTCGACTGGATGGCCCTGCCCGATCCCATCGCCAGCTGGGAAGATGCGGCGCTTTCGACGTAGCCAGGCGACCCGGGAATATTTCGACTCTGTTTCGGGTTTGCGCATAGGGGAAAACGCAAAAGGCGGCCGTGCGGGCCACAGCGTGTGGCTATGTCGATGCGCTGTCTTGTGCGCTGGCTGCTGGCGTCGGCCGATCCTCCCGTTCCCTGGCTGCGGGCCGGCGTGGTGGGCTGACGAACCCGGCCGGCGGCGAGAGGCGGCGAGTGACGGCCGGCTCGCGAGCGGGCAGCTGAGGTGAGGCTACTGTAAGGCCGGGCGACGACGTGCGGGCGGCGGCGCGGGGTGCCGAGCGAGGCGGGCGCGGAGCGCGTACGCCCCACCGGTGCGGGGTGGCGGCGCGCGCGATGCCGTGCTGCGGTGGACGACTGGCTGCTCGGTGGCCTGTTCGGCGCGGCCCTGCGGTGTTCCTCTCCGCACTTGATCGGATCAAACCAGGATGGGTCTGCGAACCGTTTCTGTTGTGCATTAGTGGCCCGTCCCGTGACTCTGGCTCGCTAAAATCGAGACCGCGTGACATGAATTGAGTTGGGACAAGACAAATGCCTGTGAACTTCTCTTCAGGTAGCCTACTTAGGCTCACTTTCGACTTCAGTGTGAAGCTATGTCCACCCGGCTTGTGTGACGAGGTGGATGTGTTTCTAGGAGCTTGCACTACCTGACGTGATTGCGCCCGACGGTGGCGGCGCAGCTGGCGTGATGACGCGACGGCCGTCACAGCGGCCCGGCCGTAGGCACGCCAGCGACCGCGCCTCTGGCCGTCTGATGAGGTGAGCAGCCGCGCCTCTGACCGTCTGACGAGGTGAGCAGCCGCGCCTCTAGCCGTCTGATGAGGTGAGCAGCCGCGCCTCCGGCCGTCCTAACAAGTGAGCAGCCGAGTTTCTCTCCCAACAGGTGAGCCGCCCCATCTCTGTCCGTTTCAACAGGTGAGCTACATTCATTACTAAAATAAGCGAGCCGTCGTGTCTCTGCCAGTCACAACAAGCTATTTACCGGGCACGTGTCGACAGGTGAGCTGCCACGTTACTGTCCCCGACGGATGAGCTGCCACGTCCGTATCCTACCAAACACTTGGACGTATATGTACCTTCCTTCGTGAACCGGTCGTTAACTTGCGTGGTATCGGTTTAGCTGACATTGCAGGCAAGCTGGTTATTGCTATCAGAACTGCGTCCTTTTATCGGTCGGCCACAAGTTTATGAATTGCACTGGCCTCAACGCATCATGCAGGGGTTGTGACCTGCGGCTCAAACTCCGCTCTGCGTCTGTCAGCGGGACGAGCGAGACGGCGTCCCGCCTAGCTGTTGTGTCGTTCGTTATCTCACCACATAGACGGATAATGGTCGTGTCGTTTCGGCAGTTCGCACCGCTACTCAAACACTGCGTGAATCCGGTTGTGTAGCGACCAGTGGCAGTGCACCGGTAGTGTGCTGCGCCTACGGTGCTGATCGGTGCTGGACCTGACGGCGTGTGTCGGTGTGTGTGTGTGTTCCAGAGGCCAGAGGCGCGCTCCTACTCTGGGACGGGGCGCCCGCCGGGCCGGCTCGGGCCGGCTCTCGGCTGTGATCAACTCGCGCGTCGGCCGGTACATCCACCCGTCGTGGCACCGCCGGGAGGTGGCGATCCCGCTCTGAATATTGTGTGTTTGTGCGTGCGTGCGCGCCTGTCTGTCTGTTTGTCTGATCGGGTGGGTGCGCGCGTGTGCGTCCGAAACGGCAGAAAGTGCGTCATTGCTTATCATCGACATCGGAGCACCGGAGACTAGGGAATGTCGCCTGGATTTGAGCCCAGGTGTCTCCTGCTTACAAAGGTCTGGTCGCGGTCGTCTGTTCCGGGTGACTCTTCATCATCAGCGCGCGGCGACATGGGCGCAGGCTCTGTCGCCGATGAACGCTGCACGTCAGAGTGGGTTTCGTGGCCGATTCATTCCATGCCGCATACGAATTGCATTACCATCACATGTTGGATTGCGTGGGCTTTGGCTCGTTTGACGTGCTCTGAGTAGTTGGAATAAAGCCGTTCATTGCAGTAGTTGGGATTTCCTTTCAAGAGTTTGACTGGTACCGTTCCGCGATTGGGGGCTGGACCAGTGTGGCGCGAGCCTCGTGCAATGTCGTGGGGAAAGGAACAACTCAGTATTTATAGCTCTGGCGGACTTGTGGTTTTTGCGATTGAAGCGAAGATCATGTACGTTGTAGGATTTTCGGAGCCGGGTACCGGCAGTGCGTCCCTGCCCATCACGACGTGAGGGTCCAGGGATACGGAAAGTGCCGACCGATGCGACGGGCGCGCGCCGCGCTCAGCGTACGCAGTCATTACTGGAGGTGCGATGCCCCGAGTGTTGCGTACGGGTGATGTCGCGTCCGGATGCGGGCGCCGCCCAGCCTGGTCCCGCGTAGTCAGGCCGCATCCACGGTCTGGGGCCCGACCTGTGACGGCGCGACGCACACGAACGGCGCTGTAGCTGTGTGGAAGCGCACGAAGCCGCTGACAAGGTGATTTCGGGTCAAGTGCAATGGTTTGATATATTTACAGGCCATACTTGTGTTTGGCGTGGCATGCGAAATGCATCATTTGCATGTCCAATACAGTACCTGCAGAATCATACGTATATGTCTTCGTATATGTCTTCTTGCCCTATCCTGGGTATTTCCGTCCTGCTAATTTTGCATTTGTCTGTCTAGCCACCTAATGGGAGTGACGCGGACCCAACTCGACAGTGAGAGTCCCCGCAGGATCATGCGTTTCCAACCTGTGGCATTCAGCCCGTATCAAACGAGGCTGCCGCCACCCAGCTCTTGCGGTTTCGACTAAGCTCGCTGCTGAAGAGAGCTTAGACAGTGTAGAGGGTGCAGGGAAGTCTGCAGGGCTGGAAGGAATGCCGGGGATGGACGGGGTTCTTGTAAGAGTGGCGCAAGGCTGCCGCGACGCATCGCACCTGGTGCTGTGGCGGATTCGAGGTGCATTGCGCGCTCATTATCTGTGCATATGTCGGGTGAACGTGAGTGATCGTTCGCTCGGACAGTGGAGACGCCGGGGAGACGGATGCAGCCGAGGGAAATCCGGCAGAGATGGAAAGGAGAGTGCTCTTCAACGCATTCTATGTGCTATTTATGGTGTACTGTCGTATGCGGTCTTTGCCCGATTGGTTACGAGGTAGAGGGCGACGCTGTGACGGCTTACCCCGGGCGTAGTTCAAGGCAAGAGCCGCACTGATAACGTTTGTAAACTAAGGGACCAAATGAGTAGCTGCACGATCAGCTTTCATTGCGTTGGCGAACGTCTATCCAACGAGTGAGAAAGGATGTTTTATTTAAAACGGTCAACATATGCCTTATGGCGAAAAATTATTTTTGGGGATACGGGAATCGCCCTTACTGATTAGCCCCGTGACGCAGCAGCTGATATTCCGTTCCGATTGCAGCCCGTCTCGCTGGACCGGTGGATGAGCGAGGATGAGTGAAATCTCTTTTATAGCATGTACCACACAGCCTCAAAGTGTCTGATATTTTTGGCGACAACTTTCTGTAAGAATCTTGTTTGCTTTACAAAAACAAAGCGTCCAAATAGCACATTTGTTTTTAACCCGCGGAATGACTTGAAAATTATTTACATTTTTGGAAGTTACTCTGGCTATACGTAAACGTGCGCCATCTTAGATTCATCATATGTGCGCCGTAAATGTAAAGAGCTCAGTGGCTTTGTTCCCATTGACGGGGGCGGAATTTTCTTCGAGATTGCCCCTGAGGATTAACGGCGGGCCCTTTTGTGTGTTTTACAGTAAGAATATTTTATTGTCATCTCCTGCGCTTCACTGATTTGGGTGTTAATCTTAGCAAGGTATTGGAGCGTCCGTGCTGCTTGTGCTAATCTGCGTGGTTGACACAACATTGGTCGCATTACTAGGTTTGTGTGTCAAAGCGTATGTTCTTCAATGAAAATCGTGTACATCGCATTTTGAATGCTTGCCATATTTTGGAAGCATTTAGCTGGATAATGACTGCTTAAATGCTGTGATTTATCGGAGGTGAATGTACTTCATTTCTGGTTTGATTTTATTAGACATTTACCTTCCTGCATTTGCTGGTTTGTTATAATGATTTGGAAGATAGGACGTGTCTCAAAGTGTCCCTAATTTGTATTTAATCTGGGCTAATTGAAACCCAAGATTTCAAGTGCATTTTATAGACTCATTGAGACAAGATTGGATGCAATGTGTTGTATCCCCAGGAGCAATGGTTGAATTAAGTGCTGTTGGATGGAAAGTATGATGAGGTCCCGCTTGTGTCACTGGGCCGGTGCCAAGGGAGTGTAGTGGCATGGTGTTTATCTCTCACTGGGGCACCAGAGTACCACCAATGCTCAAGCTGGGCAGGCATTTCAATGTGGATAGAAAACTTGCGTGTTGGCATATTCAACGGATTGGGCTGCTTATGGTCTCTGAGCACATGCTAGGCATAGGCTAGTTGTGGTTGACATGCCGCCTTAGTGCCTTGAGTGGAAAGGCCTTGTGATTTGTAGTCTTACCAAAAAAAATAGGCTTATGTGGCCAGGCTTGCATAGTGGATGGTATATTGAGGTATTTCTTACCATAAATATAACCATACTATATTTCCATTCATTATTGTTTATTTATTGCATTTCAAGCTCATTTCACATCCAAATAATGACTAGTGGGTTGTAAGATGGGGACACTCACCAAGCAGTTGTCATCGTGTAGAATGTCATATAACAAAAGTTATGGCCTTGGTGTAGTTGTGCCATGGGCAACATTATTTTGACTGGAAGTCATGGTGACATCATCTAATAGCTTGGACCTCTTGTGTGGTGGTATTGGTGCACACAAGCTAGCTATGTTCATTACATACAGACACTTATGCTGAAGCAAAAAGGTGGCATACTTGCAGATCAAGACATTTTGTGGAAAATATTGTAAACTTCCTCAGCCCCTCCATTTAATACAAATCATTGTCTTTGGGGTGGAATTGAGACTGATTGGAGAGTGGAAGCTGCAGGTATTTAGGTGGGATAATGGAAAAACCCAGATTTTGGAAACTAACTAGAGCTGGCCAGTTTTGATTTTCTATATTATAGTGTGTAAGCTGTTGGCCCACATCTGATTTCACTCATTGATTCAATTCATCTGATATTCAAATATCATGTGGCAGGCTACATTAAAAGAAGTGGGAAATTTAAAAGAGGGTTAGGGCAAAAAAGAAAGTGATTGTTTCTGAATGAACATAATCTAGCAGGGAAAAATCTGCAGTTATTTTGTGCCCAGAAATGGAGGTTTAAGCTGGGCACCTAAGATATGTACAATGTTTTACATTTTGAGACATGTTCTGGCATGTCAATTTTGGTAGCCCTGGTTATGTAGACTATTTGTTTCAGGTTGAACAATGTTCTGGAAATTTCATGCTGCACCATCAGCAAGTGTAGATGAACTTCTAAGCAAAGAGGTAAGCTTAGAACATATGCATTTTCTGGTTAGGCCAGTAACTCGTGTCATGGCTGTTGGCGGTGTATTTGTTACACAGCATGTCCAGGAAACCAGAGGCACAGGGATTGATTTCCTGTGGTGCCCACCCTTCCTGACAGGGTGAGAGATGGGTGATGCCATATGGCATCAGCAGGTTGAGAGGCAGGTGACATCATATAGTGTCAGCAGCTAAGTGCACTTTGAAGCCTGAATGGGGATGGGAACTGGTGTCAGCTTTGCAGATATTTGTGTGGTGTGTGTATGAGTGTGATGTCAAGTTGCATGAAACATTGTCTTGATCCTGACATGCTATGCTCCTGTGCACTGTAACAACATGAAACAGATGACTGGAACTGTGCATGGCACACATGCATGTGGTGTGAGCTTTGCTACTTATGTGATGAGGACAAGGCATGATATTGGACATAAGGGCATCATGTGTATGTGGTATTCAGGCTGTCTTGTGGCCTTCAAAACATGTGCTTATTTTTCAGAATGTAACCCTAGAACAATTATTGGATGAAGAGGACATTATACAAGAATGCAAGGCTCAGAACAGCAAAGTCATTGATTTGTAAGTAGTTCATACAGACTCACTGTGGGAATCATGATCCCTTTAATGGTGTGATGAATGAAATCAAGCCAAGGTAATACAATTGCAGTTGTCAACATTTGCATTGGAGCACAGTGCCTGGCCAGCATTGTATGGTGGTCATCTGCCACTTTTCTGTGCTGCACTCAACCCTGTGGACAGTCTGCCATCACCCTGTTCAGTACCAGGCCCTATGACATGACAGCTTCTCTAATGCGGTTGCCGTCCCCCAGCCTGACACAGCCGGACATGATGATGTCGCTGGTGTCGCACATGGTGACGGAGCCGGACCCGAGTGGCGACGTGACGGCACAGTACCGCTATGCCAACATGGCCTCCGAGATTGTGACGTGCAACATCCCAGCCATCATCGACCAGCTGGCGTCCGAGCGGCCGCTGCTGCAGCGGCTCTATGGCCTGCTGGAGCAGGACGTGCCGCTCAACCCGCTGCTGGCCAGCTTCTTCTCCCGCACCCTGGCGCTGCTCATTGTCCGCCGACCCGACCAGGTGCGTCTCGCGCGTGCCTGCCCCCCTCGCCCCTTACAGTAGCTTGGGCTCGAGCAGGAGCGCCTCGCGCGTGTCTGTCGCTACCCGTCCCATCGGCCTGGGCCCGACCTGGTCCGGTTCGCGGAGCCGTCCGTTTTACGGGGGCACAGCGCGGGAACCCAGCTCCTCGGAGCTGAGGCAGCGCTGTGGTATGCGGGAGTGGCCGTGCACGATGGCAGAGCAGACGGCGGCGGGCCCCGCCGTCGGCGGCTGGCTGGGAGTGGCTGGTGTCCCGTCTGTGAGCGTGCAGGCCCGGGCATGTCGCCCGGCCGGCTGAGGCTGGCTCTCAGTCCCTGACCTCAGGTGTGGACCATGGCTAGGTAGCCGGCTCCGGCATCGCAGTCGTATGTTGACGGCAGGACGGGAGTCGGAAGCCCGCCTGTTTCTGATTTGTGCACTCGCGAAGCCATTGGACTTTTGTAAGACATATTGTGGGTGATGCATGAAACAAGCTATGACAAACGAGGCCGGGGGATTTGTACCTTCTTGCAATTTACGGGTTTGCGACTTTTGCTTCGGCCCAGAGTCTGTTGTTTGGGTTTATGAGGTGTTTGTTCTGTTCTGTTCATCAATTACGGGTGGGAATTTCAAATGTGCTCATTAGGTAGCACATTTTTGGTGTGTCGGGATTCTACCAAGGTCTACAAGTTCAGGGCGTCGGTCATTGACCAACCATCTGCCTTCTGTTTTCACCATGATCAGGTGCGGTGCACAATTGGATCTAGCTGTTCTCGAGGAATGGTGCTCATTATTGGTCACATATTCATGCACAACAGTTCATTGCGTCATGTCTTACGCATGATGATGCATTTGGGACGGATGGGTACGCAATTGTGTAACCCCATCAGCGAATGGCTGGCTGTTACTGAAACTGGCACGTCTTAAACAAGCCTGCTCACACACTCGACTCCTCTAGTGAGTCGTGTCTGAGCGCTGCACGGACTTAATTCAAGAGTAAGTGTTAGCCCACCTATCACTTGCTTTGCCAAAATTAAGTTGATTCTAATGCAACCAATAATTTAAAGTCACGCGCCACATGCCCAGCATATATGTGCATGTCGTGCATCTGAGCCAGCTAATGTCGTGTTCTTTTTCTCTCTCTCCCCCACAGAGTTGGTACTCCTATCAGTTCAACTGCTTACAGGTATTAGAATTCCTTAAGTCCATGGAGACGTTCATCGACCTGGTGCTGAAGCACCTGGGCACCTCGGCCATCATGGACCTGACGTGCAATCTCATCTCGGGCATCGAGGCGCCCGAGTACCGGCAGAACGCGCTCAACGTGAGTACAGGACCGGACCGGCCGGGCGGGGACCGGGCGGTGTCTGGTCATGTAACGCTGTTGACCGCGTCCGGGCGGGGTCCGGACCGGCCGGGCAGGGGCCGGGCGGTGTTTGGTCATGTAGCGCTGTTGACGGTGTCCAGGCGGGGTCCAGACCGGCCGGGCAGGGACCGGGCGGTGTCTGGTCATGTGGCGCTGTCGACCGTGTCCGGGCGGGAGCCGCCCGGCCGGGCGGGCGGGGTCCAGACCGGCCCGGGCGGCGTCTGACCACGCGGCGCTGATGGCCGTGTCCGGGCGGGGTCCAGACCGGCCCGGGCGGCGTCTGGCCACGCGGCGCTGATGGCCGTGTCCGGGCGGGGTCCAGACCGGCCCGGGCGGCGTCTGACCACGCGGCGCTGATGGCCGTGTCCGGGCGGGGTCCAGACCGGCCCGGGCGGCGTCTGACCACGCGGCGCTGATGACCGTGTCCGGAGCGGGAGCGGGGCGGGCCGGCTCCGTCCGGTGGGGCCGCGCTGCCACCGGCCGTCGCTCCCGGACGATGGCACGGGCGATAAGGGAGTGGCAGACACGATCGCGGCGATATGACCAGCGCACGTGAGCACGTGCTGCCAGGCGAGCCGACTCCTGGGCTCGGCTCGTGGCAACCTTCCGGCAGATTCCAGCCGACGCTGCGCTCAAAAGTGGCGCAGTTTTGGCTTCATTGCAGTCGACCCCGCTGGTTAGTGTGCTGAAATATTGCGCGTCATGATTGAGCATGAAAGCACGCGCTAAAGCTCTGCAGGTGACATTCTATTCACATTAACTGAAGATCCGCGCCGTGCGGAGCATTTCGTTGACGTAAGCCGCGTGCTCAGGCGTTTCGACGCCCCGGGGGCGGCGAGTGGCTCGTGCGTGACTGTGGCAGTGGTCGCTCAGAACAGGCTGCCGCTCGTTTCGGTCTTCGTGGAACACTCACGTAAGCCGGCGTTGCCATGGACCTGTCAGCGGCATTTCCTATGAATGGATGCCAAATTAGGGGAGGTAAGCGGCTGCCCGCCAGTCCTGTTTTGGGTGTATGTGTTTCTGGTTTCAAACATGGTCGTGACACACATGCTGTTGAACTGTGACAGGTCGTTTGTCTTGACGAATGGTCGCCTGTCTGAATCTTCAACAAGGCGCTGGGTATGACTGAACAGTTTCCAAATATGCCAGGAAGGGCGGTCAAGTATGCTGGAATTGCTCGCTATCTGCATATGGCAGACAGGGTCGTAAATAACAAAACCGTTTGAAAAGATGTAATCCGTTACGTCATAGGGGACATGGCTGGACCATTGCAAAGTGATGTCACGTTTCTATGTGCTGGAGCGATGCAGTCATGGTTCGATCATGGTGTAGGCCACCCGCATCATATTCGGAATTCTCACCAGTGGATAAATAAAAGATACATTTCGCGTTATATCGATGTGTTTTCTCATTCGGTCCGGAGTATTGATCTCATTGACGTAACTCCGCTCTTGTGTCGCCACTGCTGGTTCTGTCACACTTAAAACCCCCAAACCATCATATATATATATATATATATATATATATATATATATATATATATATATACATATATATAAATAGATAGATAGATAGATGGATGGATAGATAGGTTCGATATAGATAGATAGATGGATGGATAGATAGGTTCGTTGTCGTCAGTTGTGACTCGTCAGCCGACCACAGATGTGCCGTTATTTAGGCGCACGGTACTGGTGGTGCGTCCGTGCCGTCTCTGTGCCTCGGCTGGCCGGCTGCTGGGGCCCCGTCGTGCCGCCCCGCCCCGCCGGCCTGTGAGCGCCGTCTGACCGGCGCGGCGGCCCCGGCTGCAGTGGCTGAACGACCAGCGGCTGGCGCAGCGGCTGGCCGAGCTGATGGCCGACTCGCAGCATCCAGAGCGCCAGGCCAACGCCGGCCAGGTGGTCATCTCGGTGGTCAGCTGCGCCAGGCAGATGGCGCAACAGCTGGCGCCCGGCGAGAAGGAGCCCAACCCGCTCGTCTCCACCATCGAAACGTGAGTGAAGCCGCCTACTCTGCCACGCGGACGGTTGGGGAGGGGGGAGAGGGCAAGGGGGGGGGGGGTAGATGACGCGTAGTGTCGGCTTCGTGGAAGTCAGTTTTGATCATGCAGGGTCGTGAGTAAGTGGTAGGTCAGGTAGGTCGCCGCTAACGTTTGTCTGGCGGCAAATGTGGACTGGTGGAAGCGGGGCCGTGCCGATGAAGGATCCCGCAGTGTGGGTTGTTGCGGGATCCTCATTGGATCCCGCAACGTTGCTTTGTGCTGACTTCCGGAGACTGTGAGATGGTCCGTTAGTCCGTGACATGGCAGCGCCTCCACACAGCACCGGGCGTGTCGGGCGCCGTCGTGCCCGGCTGGGCCGGCGCGCCCACAGGCAGCGGCTCGTCTGAGCGGCGTGCGGGCTGTGCGGTGACGCAGCGCGGCCGGCCGGCAGGGTGGAGTTCGTCTCGACGGTGCTGGACGGCGTGCTTGGCGACGGCCGGACGGAGGCCGGCCTGGTGAACGCCGTGCTGGTGCTGCGGCTGCTGCTGGACACGGGCCGCCAGGGCGCGCCGTACGCGCAGAACGAGGCCGACGAGGAGTCGCCGCCCCAAGAGCCGGCCAGCGTGCAGGCGGTGACGGAGGCGGTGCTCCCGCGGCTGGCCGAGCTGCACGCCGTGCTGCTGGCGCCGCCGCCGCGGCCGCCGGTCAACACCACCTGCGGCCGGCTGAGCCCGCCGCTCGGCGCCACGCGGCTGCAGCTGGCGCGGCTGACGGCGGCGCTGCTCGCTGCCAACCGGCACCCGGTCAACCGGGAGCTGGCGCGGCTCGGCACGGTGGACGTCCTGCTGGTGAGCGCGCGCGCCGCCGGCGCCGCCGGGCTTGGCGCGACGCTGCCGGACGCCATGGTGGTCAGAGGGGGCGGGAGCTGCGGCGCCCGGCCGACCTTTGGGCCGCGCCCTGGCGACACTGGCCGTTGTAGAGGGGGAGTGTGGCTTGGTGTCCGAACTTGGACAAGGCTGATCTCGTTTAGGGTAGTTCAGCCCTGTGTAAGTCCTCTGTTGTGATGTTCATAATGCATTGCATATGTCATGTGATGTTGGCTGTGTTGAGGCCATCCGCTGTCTTTCCCGCTCATATCTGATGGTGTACAGCAGTCCTCTCGTGTATTTTCCCACCGCATGCACATTTTCTGGTCCACAATTGGTGCCGCTGTTTGAACACACGCGTCTGTGTTTTCAGGACCTGTTTTTCCAGTATACACTGAACAATTTCCTTCACTCACAAGTAGAACAATGCATTGGTCTGATCCTGGATGCGGAGCCGCAGGAGAACGAGGAGGGCAAGAGCTGTCATCCACTTCTAGTACATGTAAGCACCTAGCTACTGAGTTGGTACTAGAGACACAACTTTTCAGCCCTCCAGGCCGCCGATTTCTGACCCCCAGGGACCCGCGGGGCTTTTGACTGGGTTATGGGCCAGACACGGCGGGCTTTCGCGGAAGAAAATTTTAGGAGGCCAAATAGTGCTTTTTTTTGCTATTCCTCAAGTTTTGGACTAATTCCAAGACCAGTTTGTGCTGCCAAACACAAAGCAACCATGAAGCAAACATATTTTGTTTTTGTTTTTCGAGCAATAGCACCAGTGGCAGAAAGTAAAGAACATTTTTGTTTTTACGGCAGTGGCACCAGTGACGGAAAACTAATGGTAAACATGACACATTAGTAAACCAGGTTGCACAGTTGCACAGCTTTAAGCAAACATCTCACTGAAAAATTGAAGAATAATAACCAAAATTTTTAAAACTACAGCCTGATGTCATTGGGCAGCAGTTGGGTCGGTCCTCAGTATAAATACAGTAAACGCGACAATTGGCTGTCACTGTGAGGGTGTGCCGCACTCTACCGTTCTTGGTTTACCCAAAACCGTGGCTTGTAAAAATCTCTATACATATTCATGATAGGTCAAATGCATTGTTAAGTGCGAGTCTTCATGGCCCTAGCTTCGTTCACTTGTGAGCACAGCCAGCAGTTACTGGCGCATCAAATGCGCGACAGATGTCGAAACTGAAAAAGGGGTGACAGAGTCTATTTATGTCAGAAGAAGATGCAATTTGCAACCACGACTGCGGGGCATTTACACAATAATGGTTTCCATCGCAGCGATTGTTACTATTTTCAAGGTTTTTTTGGCACAAAAGGTTTTATTCTGTCTGATTCGTTCATTTGTTCCAATATTGTACCTGCACGCTGTCATGGAGCATGTATAACACTATCATTTTTGCATTTTCCAAATTGTCGTAGAAATATATTCTTACCCAATTCTGTATGAAAAAATCGTCTCGACATTCTCGATTCCGTCAATAAGCAATTCGATAAAGATCAAAAGTTACACTCTGTACGCTTCGTAAGGTATAGAAAGATCTGGAAATTAGATAAGCAACTTTGTTTTCATATCAATTTTTCTGCAGCATGCAACAATATGTCACAGTTGTTGGTGACATTTCTAAATGGCAATGATGTCACTGGAGAGGCAGATGTTCGTGGGCAAAATGTTGTCATCCTCGCTTTCATGTGGCTTTCACACAGCAGAACATAAGCCACACGGCAATGGTTGTAGGCTGGAGCGTAGAGTTGGTGAGAGGAATCATGAATCATGTCAGAGCTACCACGTGATTTCTGTGTGGTGCGATTGCGTGATATATCCACGTAAGGGTATCAAACACCATATAGGAGACTGGCTCTGGTCACTCCGTGAGAAATTTGACATTGCGGCAATTGTGACGCAGCACAATGAAGATTGGGGTTATGGGGTACATTGTAGTAACTGACGTCACAACTCGAAACATCCATAATTTTTTTACCATGTGTGTGCAACGCTATCAATTGATGCATGCAATTTTGGAAGTGGCCTGTGACTTAATGAGATGAGGTACATGGGTCAAATCTTTGGAACATTTTGGTGAAAAACAAATTTCATTTATTCCCCCTTCCTTCTCATTTGTAGTGGGGAACGGGTATCACAGTTGAGACAGTAGCATTAGCCTTATTCATCGTAGAAAACAGCAGGAGAATGAAGAGGTAGATGCGCTGATGTTTCGGCAACCTGCCTTTATCGAAACGAATATCATAAGTGAATTCCAAATTGCCCGCCGATCCTACCCGATTTTTTTTTTAACAGCGAGACAGTCGAGACTGGAACGGACTGGGAATGGGAATGGGAATGGGAATGGGAATGGGAATGGGAATGGGAGTGGGAGTGGACGGGGAGTGGGGCGGGACGGGACCGCGACTTGTGCCCGAACGGACGGAGCCCGAGCACGACCGACCGGCCCTGTCTCGCGTGCCGCGGCCGCCGTCGCCATCTGACGGGATCGGGGCCTGCCGGCCGGGTGTAGCGATCAATGGTGCCGGGCGATAACGGGGTTACGACCGACCACCGTCGGCCGCTGCCTGTAGCCGTGGCCGGTGGCGGCTGCCGGTGGCCGTTGCCGGTGACGGCTGCCGGTGGCTATTGCCAGTGACCGCTGCCGATGGCTGCTGCCGATGGCTGCTGCCGATGGCTGCTGCCGGTGGCCGCTGCCGATGGCTGTGGACGATGGCTGTTGCCGGTGGCTGCTGCCGGTTACCGCTGCCGGTGGCTGCTGCCGGTCGCCGCTGCCGGTGGTCGGAGCCTGTGGCCGGAGTCTGTGGCCGATACCGTCGGCCGGCAGCTTGGTGGCAGCGGCCCGCTATGTCCGACTCGGATGGACGCGCCCCTGATGGCAACACCCCGCTGCCCACAGATATTCACAAAGACAAAGCTGGTGCAGAGAATACTGCAGGGCATGGAGGAACCCCAGACGAACGGCGAGACCTCGGAACAGAAACGGTGCGTACCCCGTCTGCCGTGTCTGGGCGAGTATGGCTCGTCTTATGCGGGAGGCGAGCCTCGTTGGCAGATGTGTTGGCGGGGTGCGCCCCTGGGAACAGGCTGAAAAAATGTTAAGCGCCATCTGTATGCTGCACGGCCGTGTTTTTCCGTCGGAGTAGCGATAGCTGCCGTGGCGTTTTCGTAAAGGGTTGTTGATCAGCTGAGATCGTGTGGATATTGCCGCGGGCAGCCAACTGGTTCTGGACGGCTGGCGGAGAGCGTGGCGTGTGGCCGCGGCAGCGGGCGTGCGGCGGCAGCGGGGTGGCCGGCCCGGTGCAGACCGGCGCCACGTGTCTGGGCCGGCGGACACCCGCTGACGAGACAGGCCTGTCGGTCAGGTGCTGCCGGTCACTGCGAGCCTACTGCGGCCACCTGGTCAACATGGCCAACAAGATCTGCTCGGCGTGCGAGAAAGGCCCAAACGCCGAGCTGGTGCAGCGCCAGCTGGACGCGCTGCCCGAGCCCATCCGGGCCGCCTGGCAGGCCTTCAAGGAGGCCAAACTCAACCGCATTAACGAACAGAACAAGGTGGGTCGCCGCGCCACCTTGCGCGGGCGGCTCTGGGCCCCTCGGCCCGTCGCTGGACTCGTTTCCTTCTCGCCCTTTGTGCTAAGGCCAGTTCACACCAGGTGCGTCGGGCCTAGTGATGCGCGCGGCTGCCTTAAAAGATTCAGGCCCACGCGTACGGTGAGCGTGATTGAGCGGGCCTGCGTGGATCACACGGCACGTGAGATGCGCGCGCGCCGCTGGGCTCGCTCCGGCCGTTAGTTGACGGCCGCACGGCACAGTGCTATGTGACAACGCGCGCAATGTGCGCCGGATGCGGAGAATCGCCTGCGACCTGTCGTAGTCGATGTTCAAGGGGGCGCGCGGCTGCGTCTTCCCGGGCAGCCGCGTGCGTGATTGTGTTTGACTCATCTGGTGTGAGATGACTTCTCGAGTTCGGGTGGAGTGTGCTCTAGATCGTAATTAATCGTGAGCTCGTTAATTTCTTGGGAACAAAAGAAGCCGACAGGACGATGAATCGGTCTTGGGCTGGTCTGGCCGCGTGCCGTCCTGGCGCCGAGCGCCGTGACCCGGTGACCTCTCAGCACGTGCCGCTCAATTGACCGCCGGCTCTGTGGCACGCTCATAAAACCCCTAAACATCATCATGACTGTATGTGTGTCCTGTGAACCTAATGCCCCGTTGTTATCCCGTCGTCTGACCTGCGGGTTGACCTTACGCTTCAGCCGGTGTTGCCCGACACCAAGCAGGACTCGAGCAGCGACTCGGACTACCGCGGAGTCACGGACGCCCAACAGGCAGCCATACTGAGGGTCAGTTCGCGCAGACGCCGGGGTCGTTGTGGCGAGCTGTGGCGGACGGATGTGCGGGCAGGGGTGTAGCATCATAACACGACCCGCCTGTGTGTTGTGGGCGCGGCTGGGCTGGCCGCCGCCGGGCCTGCGCCCGGCCACAGGCGGCCGCTCCTGCCGGCCCCGTCTGTGTACGGCGCGGTGCCATGGGCGCCATATGACCAACGTAGTCGGTGCGCCCCAAAGCCCAAATCATCATCATCATCGTGCGGCGCGGCGCCGCCGCCAGTAGTCGGGGCCGGGCCTCGGGCGTCCGCTCCCGCCGGCCCCGTCTGTGTACGATGCGGCGCCGCCGCCCGGTGTGACATGCTGAGGGCCTGCAGTCGGACGCCGTGAGCTGACGCGCTCGCCCGCCGACCGTTGCAGACGTTCCACAACTTCCAGCTGCTAAACGCCGGCACTGGCAGCGGCCTGTCCGACCAGATGGGGCACAGCGACGACGAGTACAACGACATCGGCGACGTGCTCAGGTGGGCAGCGCCCGGCGGACTGCCGCCCCCGGGGCGACGTGTCGCACCAGGGACTGACTTTGCGTCCGTGCCGTGTTTGATCGCGGCGACGGCCGCGGCTGTGAGGGCGTGTGGCTTACTGCCGTCTGTCGTCTGTGGTATGCGCAAGATGACATGTTTTCACTGCCGGAGTGACCGGTGCGGTGCTGTTGTTTGCCGGCCTGGTCTGACCGCCGTCTGCCGGTGCTGCGCCGTCCGAGGAGCTCACTCCAGCAGGACGGCTGTCACCGATCTCCTGACCTCGCCTCCCCTGACCTGACGGCGGCGTGTGCCGACAGCGCGCCGTCGGAGCAGCTGACACCGGTGGGCCTGCTGGCGCTGGACGCGGCCGTCGAGCAGCGGCCGTCGGCGGCCGAGCTGTTCGCACAGCAGTGCGCGGAGCGGTTCGGCGGCCCGGACGAGACAGAGCCGTGGTCGGCGCGCCGGGCCGCCAGCCTCGAGCGCTGCCACTCGAGCTCGGACGAGGAGGACGGCGACGAGCCCGAGCCTGGCGACGAGCCGGCGCCCGGCCACATCTCCATGGAGGTGGACACGAGCGACCCGTGGGCCGAGGCCAGTGCCGCCCACCCGGTCGCCATGGACACCAACCTGTGGGAGTCGGCGCCGGCCGCCGACCCGGCCGCCAGCGACTGGGCCGACTTCGCCGCCTTCCCGGCGCCGGCCGCCGTGCCGGCCTCGCCGCCGCGCGAGAGCAAAGGTGCGCCCCGGCCCTGACCACGGGCCGCGCCGCGGACCGGGCGCTGCCGAGCAGTGCGCCGCGCCCGGGCGGTGGGACCGGGCGGCGCCGCGCCCGGGCGGGGCGGTCTGCACGCCTCGTGCGCTGGTGCGGCTCCCCGCGCGGCAGTGCCCGGGCTGTGTGTGGCCTGGCTGTGCACCGCTTCACAGACGGGCCTGGGTACTGTGCTCGGTGACTGGACGTCGTCGGGGTAGCTGACCCGGTGTGCCCGACGGCCTGACCTCGGCTGACCCGATTTGTCAGTGCTGACTGGCGTCGGCCTGTGCCGCAGGGGGAGGTGACTCGGCGACCGAGCCGACGGCCGGCTTCCATGCCAACTTCGAGGCGGCGTTCTCGCACACGTGCGCGCTGCAGGAGGGCCAGCTATCGCCACCGCCGCCCGAGCAGCCTCCGCCACCGCCTCCGCAGCAGCAGAAGCAACAGCAGCAACAGCAGCAGCAGCAACAACAGCAGCCGTCGCCGCCGCAGCAGCAGCAGGGGCAGCAGCAGCCGTCGCCGCAGCAGCAGCAGCAGCAGCAGCAGGAGCAGCAGGGACAGGAATCCGAGAGCAGCATGGAGGTGCAGCCGGAGCTGCTGGTGGCCGAGCCCGTCCCGCCGCGCGCCGGTCAGTACTGGTGGTCAGCTGGCTGCTGTTGAACCGGCGCCCGGTCGTGAGATAGCGACGGTGACAGGGGACAGGGGACAGGGCGGCGACGCTGGACAGGGGGACCCGGCCGGGACGCCGATAGGCAGCAGCTGGAGCACTTCCCTAGATCTCGCACGATTGCTTTGACCGTTTGTGCCGTTGATATTGGGGAGTAATGTGATGATCATGGTTTTTGGTGCAGTTATCAGTCAGATCAATCCCCTCGGGCTTGTCGTTTCATCCGTGTTAAGAAATGACAGGTGCTCAATGTGTCAGCTGGCACCGACGAGTTTCCTTTTCATGAACACTTAACTCGTTATCCATTGTATCCAGTGCCCATTATCCATCCGCAACATGTGGGCTGAGTGCAGTCCCATCTACCGGTACTGAATTCCGTGCGTCCGGCGTTGGCGGCCATGCGTGGCGCGGTGGCCGCGCCGCGTTGCGTCTCACCGAGCGCGCCGCCCAGTGCTAACGTCCGCGACGTCCGTCAGACTCGCCGCACGAGCTGAACAGCACCGGCGGCGACTTCACGCCCCTCTTCCACGAGTCTTCCACGCCGGAGCAGGCGGCCGGCGCCGAGCCGCCGGTCTCGGACCCGGCGCGGCTCGTCGACAACTACAGGTGGGGAGACGGCACGGGGCGTCGCGGGCGCTGGGCGTCCGCGCCGCCGGGGCCACGCCGTCCCGGTCGGCCCAGCCACCGGCCGCCTCAGCCGGCAGTGTCGCCACTGCGCCGACACTCGTCTCCGGACCGCGCCGTCGTGGCCGGGCCAGGCGGCGGCCAGCGTCCTCCCTCGCGACACCGTGCGTCGCGTTTGTCCGTGCCCGGTGCCGCAGCCTCCGCGGGGGAGACTGCGGCACGGCGTCGGAGGACGCCGTGGCATGCTGAACTGGGGACGTATGGCGGGTCGGATCTGATCCCATATGGATCGACCTGGTCCGGCCCGGCGCAGCTCCGCGAGCCGAACCGGACGCGTACTGGTCCGACCGAAAGTCGGCGCGAGCATACGCGCCCGGGTTATCGGGGTCACTTGTCCTGTCGCGTTCTGTTATGGCCTGCCCTGTGCCGGCCTGGGCCTGACGGCTGGCGCTGTGCCGGCAGCTACCTGACGTCGCAGGGTCTGATGAACGGCTCGCCAGAGACGGGCGCCGCCGAGCGGCAGCCGCCCAGCCAGCCGGCCGGCCAGCCCAGGTCAGGCAGCCGGCCGGCCGCCACCGGCCACCGCGAGCAGCTCGCGGGCGTGCGCGTGTGTTGAGGGAGCTCTTGTGCTAATGGTCGGAGGTGTGGGGGGGGGGGGGCGGGGTAGGAGGGGAGCTCGTGTGCTGGTGGTCGGTGGTGTGCGTTGGGGGGGGGGGGGGGGAAGGGGAGCTCGTGTGCTGATGGTCGGAGGTGTGTGTGTGTGGGGGGGGGGGGGGGGGGAAGTGTGCTGATGGTCGGTGGTGTGTGTGTGGGGGTGGTGGGGGGGGGGGGGGGGAGGAAGAGGGGAGGGGAGGAGGGAGCTCGTGTGCTGATGGTCAGAGGTGTGTGTGTGCGGGGAGGGGAGGAGGGAGCTCGTGTGCTGATGGTCAGAGGTGTGTGTGTGCGGGGGAGGGAGGAGGGGGCTCGTGTGCTATGGTCAAGTGTGTGTGTGCGGGGAGGGGAGGAGGGAGCTCGTGTGCTGATGGTCAGAGGTGTGTGTGTGCGGGGAGGGGAGGAGGGAGCTCGTGTGGCTGATGGTCAGAGGTGTGTGTGTGCGGGGAGGGGAGGAGGGAGCTTCGTGTGCTGATGGTCAGAGGTGTGTGTGTGTGCGGGGGGAGGGGAGGAGGGAGCTCGTGTGCTGATGGTCGGGTGCGTGGGTCCTCTCGGAAGTGCAGAGGCTCTGTGTGTGTTTGGGAGCTCGTGTGCTGATGGTCAGAGGTGTGTGTGTGCGGGGAGGGGAGGAGGGAGCTCGTGTGCTGATGGTCAGAGGTGTGTGTGGGGGGGGGGGGGGGGGAGGGGAGGAGGGAGGAGGCTCGTGTGCTGAATGGTCAGAGGTGCGGTCCTCTGAGCGCGGTCCTCTGTTTGGCGCCGCCTGCTCGGCTTGTCCGGCCTTTCCTTGGCTGCGCCGGGCTGACCTGGCTCCGCTGCCGCAGCCCGTCGAAGAAGGCCGAGGCACCGTCCGCCGCCGCGCAGGCGACGTCGGCGCAGGAGGCGTCCAACAACGGCCCGGTCTGAGGTGGCCCTGCGCCGCCGTCGCCGCCGCCGCTGCCGCCGCCGCTGCCGCCGCCGGCGGCCCGCCAAGCAATACCGGAGCGGCGCTGCTGTCGATTACTATGCTGTGATACGCCCCGCCTCCTGTGCCCGAGCCGCCCCGCTCCGGGCACTTGTCCTGGCTGCCCCCCCCCCCCCCCCGCCTTCCGCGGCGTCCCACACGCACACGCACGCGCGCCCCGCCACCGGGACGCGCCGGCGGAGGGCCGTCCGTCCGCGTGGCCCCTCGCGCACCCGCCGCTGACGCCGCCGCCGCCGCCCGCTCCTGTATAAAGTGTAGTTTTAATCGCCCGGACAACAATGCTGTGTGGTGTGCGTGTCGTACAGTGATCATGTGCCGGCGGGGCGCGCGTGGGCAGCAGCGCACCGGCCCGGCGTTGCATAGTAATAATACTTAAGTCTGTTGGCAGGGTAGGACTGCCTCAGGTGTGGACCCGCGTGCCTGTCTCAGCGGCCGGCGCCGTCGCGGCCCGTATTCCCCCCAGCTGGGAGTTTTAACTTGTTTTCGTCGGCGGTAGCCGTCGGGCCGTCTCGTGCGTACATTCCAGGAGCGTGCGGGTACCGCCAGCCGCTGACCTGACCTGCCCTGACCCGACCCGGCGCCCTGGGCCGCGCGCGGCCCGTCGGGTGGGCTACTCCCCTGCCCCCTCAACTCCACTTTACGTATGCATTTTACTCGGTAATACGGGGCCAACGCTTGATCAAGAGGCTGCACGGCCGGTGCGGCCGGCGTGCCTCCCGTCGCCCACGCGGCTGAGCGCGCCCCTCCTCTGTTCTTTTTTTCTATCTGGCCGCCGGTGGGCCGGCGGGGGCGCCACCGGACTGGGGCCGCCGGCTGGGCCTGGGACCGGGCCCGGGACCGGGGCCAGGTCGAGCCGGCCGGAGCCCGTCCGGACCGCCGCCGCCCGCCGCCGCCGCGGGCCCGCGGCCTGAGCGGAAGAAGCGGGTGCAAGCTGCTGAAAACGTACCTTGTACAAATGTTAATATATTGTAGCCAGTGGCGGCGACGTCTTTGCTGGGAAGGAACGCAGGTGATGGGGCCGTTGCCGCGAGCCGGCCGCTCTCTGCGCGACGTGCGGAGACTCACCACCAGCGCCGGTCTCGAGTTTTGACGCACTCTGCCAGCGAATCGTGTTAGGCTGCTCAATGGGCGGCCTCTTTGGCGGCTGACCGTGCGGTGAGGTGCCGGGTACGAGCTCGCTCGTGCCTGGTGTGCGGGACCTGGGGGCGCGCCGGCTGAACACCGACGGGTGCGATCATCTGCGGCAGCGCGGCGACAGCAGCCCCGGGGGCTGCCCTTCTTGTCGCTGGCGGGCCGACGCTGTAGCCAGGCACTGTGACACCGATCTATGGCTTCCGATCTTGGAAAACCCGACAACTTCAGCCGCCGACCTGCTGTCCGCTCGAAGTTCGGTGCTTTGATTGAGAACCAGGCTGCATGATGCGGGCCGGGCGGCAAGTTTGGCGATTACGGGCCGTTTCGGGCCCGGCGGGCAGCGGACCTCGGCGCCGTCCCGTACGGGCCGGTGTCGGCCAGTCGGCAACGGCAGCCGCCAGACGACGCTGCTCTGGCTGCCGCTCTCTCCGCCAGAGGATGCAACAGCCGACCGGAGGCGACGCGAACAATCGCTTAAAGGAGGCTTGGACAGAGGTCTGCTTACGACCAGGCAGAAGCTAAACACGTGGGTGCGGGGGGGGGGAAGAAGATGCGCAACGGGCGCCTAACAAGATGCGGGCGTGGAAAAACCGGGCAGGGATTCCGTGCAGAAATCCGAACAGTTCTCTTCTGGCTGGAAGGCGCGCGAATGTAAAGCCGTCGAAGGTGGTACCGGTCGTACCGATCGGACGGCCGTGCGAGTTTGGTCGTTGGACTAAAATTACCCGAAACAAAATAACTGGTACGTCAGCTAAGCTTCATAATATTTCAAACCGGAGTTCGAAGGTACCCAACTGTGGCCGAAAGAAGGGGCGAGCAAGATCTGCACCAGCACGTGCAGCCCTGGAACAAGACGAGGTCACGCACGCACGTACGCGGAGCAGCTCAGTGTCACCTGTCCTGAGGTCCCGTTAAGCCCCATAAAATTATGTCCCTAGGCCCGCTCCCACCCACTTTGAACACCTGTCCTCGTCCGCGCTGAACTCTGTTGGCTTGGTCGTCGGCGCGTGGCTGTAGAATGGAACTCAACGAAAACTTGGAAGTGTTGAAAGAAGCCTGGCTAAACTCGTCTGCGACTCCGTGAACGCCCCGCGCCGCCACGCCGAGAGTAAGTAACGTCCTGTCCCGCCGAACTCCTCATTTTGGCCGGCGCCGGCTCCTCATGGCCTGAGGTGGTGCGCTTATATCAATCTACACGCAGAGGGTCGCGCAGCGGCCGACAGACCGACGACTGACCCCCTCGGTCTGGAGCCCCTCCCCCCCTCCCGGACTGTTTGCAGAATTCCAGCCGGGTGCTGAAGTGCGCATGACGCGAGCCGTCCGCCGCCGGAGGCGAGCGTGGGCCGACGGCCTGCGCCGCAGCACCGCACTCGCCCGGAACTGCCGAGCCCCAGCTCCGAAGCTAATCTGTTGGCCGGGCCGTCGTCTGAAGCCCTCCCTGTCGGCATGGCCAGCCACGTGGGCTTTATTAATGGCGCCGGACCTGGCGCCGGCCGCGCTCGGCTCCCGGTACGGCTCCGGTGCGCTCAAACGTGGAAGGCGGCGCCTCGGAGGTCAGCCAGACGCTGATGTCATGTACTCTACCCCGTCGTGTCGCCGGGCCACGGTCACGTCTGGTCCATTAGCAGACCGAGATTTGACTCAAAACGTGCTACATTCGCTAGACGGGTGATCAAGTTCATGACGCTCAGTGAGACGCGATGGTTCTACGAAGGCCCGTCGGTCGGAGAAAAACTCCCCTGCTTACCGTTCAGGGCGCTCACTCGACGTCGGTATGGGCGCACGCGCCATTTATGCAAATGGTTCTGATGAGAAAGGCGCATGAGCCTGACGTGTAACGAAAATAATTCTCATTCATTGCGATAGTTTAGCATTTATATCTGCGTGCTACGCCGCTCAGAACACTGTATTGAACGCTCGCGGCACTCGGCCGTGGGGGTCTCAAGAAGTTTGCATTCGAGATCTGGAACAGTTCCAGAATTTTCAGCACGTAACAAGTGAGCAACTTGGGTTCGAAGACGCTGTTCAAACTGTAATAGCGAGACTGCAGCGAGCCGAGTTTTGAAGGCTGCTTCTAGACCGCGGGGTCATATGACGCCTCCAATGGACATGAGATGTCGACACAGCTACGCGCTCGTGCCAAGTTCGAGAGGCAGATGGTACGGTCAGGGTCGATGCCACCAGCGGCAAGGACGGCATCCGACCATCTTACCATTTCCTCAAGGGCGAACGTACTTTTGGATATATTTAGAGGTGAACATGTCTTAAAGCCTCCCGCTGAAATTTCAGCAGGCCCCAGATGAGCGAGCCGGAACACTCTTTGAATCCAGGACGGGACTTGGGACACGTAGGAGACAATGTCTACCCGTAATATGGTCCTAGGTGGCCAACAGCATGTTCTCTATTCGCTGACAGGGTGCCCAAATAATTCGAAGGACACCGCGTAAAAACGCAATAATCCCCCAACAGGTCGAGAGTGGGCCCGATTAGAGCAGCCGAGGGCTCCAACCGACCAACAGCATGATGTGCAAAGCATAGGTTACATATATATATATATATATATATATATATATATATATATATATATATATATATATTCGCCCTCTGGTGTAGCGTCACCGACTGTTTCAAGGTAACAAGCAAGCCTGGGGCATCTAACCTGTGTACAAATTTTTTCTGCTTGTCTTTTGCCTTCCTTTTGCAAAAGAAACCCGCGTAGTAGTACGTATATATATATATATATATATATATATATATATATATATATATATATATACACATATTACTGTGGGTTTCCTTTGCAAAAGGAAGCAATATATATATATATATATATATGCATATTACTACGTGGGTTTCTTTTGCAAAAGGAAGACAAAACACGAGGGGAAAACTTTATGCGCAGGCTAAGATGCCCCTGGCTTGCTTGTTCCCTTAAAACAGTCGGTGACGCTACCCCAAAGCGCGGGTAACGCCGACTGATGTTCCTTCCGTACGGAAGCTGAGACTGATCCGTGGACGGTGCGCAGGCGAGCACTTCTCAAAAGCCCGCAGCAGAGGCTGTTCAGCATTCCCGCTCCACCCACCACACACCGCCGACAGCTGGCGGCCGTATCTCTCTGTAATCGATCGGAGTGAGTGCCGCTATCGCTGCCGACACGCTGACGCCGCCGCTCGAACTCTTCCCGAGCCGCCCGCCCGGCCGAGGAGCCGGAGCCGGCCGTGTCTAATCTCGAGCCGGCGGAGTGCGTCTGTCGGCCGGGGCGCGGGGGCGGCCGCTGAGCTCAGTCGGCGCACGGCCGGTGACCCGAGGCGGCGCCTGGTCGGCCCGGCCGGCGCCCTCTCGGCGCCCCCTGGCGGCGCGTCGGGTGCCGAGGGCGCGGCGGCACGCTGCGCCGGCCGTCGGCGGCAGCCCTCGAGGACATCCCCGTCACCGGCCGGTGCGAGCCCGACCAGCTGGGTCGGTCGATAGTCCGACCGGTCAGGGGCCGCCGAGGCGCCTCCTCTCGCGCAGATCGCAGCACACAGAACGCACACAGCCAGCCAGTAAAATGGACGCTTTATTGGCAAAAATATGTACCAAAGCAAGCACGACACACTCGGAGCCAGGCGGAGCAGCGCGCGGCGGTGGACGCGCCACCGTTTGTACACAATGCGCCTACGCCACAGAAACGGATAATCTCTAATACACCCACGGCCCTAGGCAGCATGCATGCCTGCGGTGAATAAGCGATCAGCCACTATCACCGGCACAATGTTGTGAAAACAACAGACTTGGAGCAATCACGTTTGGTTCACACCTGTGGTCCCCGGACAGAGCCGGCGCGCGTGCGCTTTGCGCCGCGACACGGAACACGCTCCCTGCACACCGACGCTCAGCGGCCGAGGCATCGCTTCATGGCCGAATCAAGACATGATAATGCCAGATAACAGAACGGCACCGGCGACAGCTGGCTTGGCCTCAGGAGGCAGCCCACCGACGGACAGACTGAATGGACAGCTAGACACAGGCCGAACACCGCCCACCTAGCCCACGGACAGATGGACAGCCAACCGGACAGTCAACCGGACAGCGGGGACAGCAGCTGGTCAGTCAACGAACAGATGGGATGGCAACAGGACAGCCACCGTCCAGACAAAACCAGAGCAAGACGGCGGCCCGTTGGATGGGACGGATACGGCCCGCTTCGTCGAACAGGATGCCCGGCCAGTCGACACACACACACGAGCGCGCGCAAGCGCGGCCACTGCCCGCCAGCCGCCAGCCTCCAGCCTCCAGCCGACGGTCTGCCGACGACGCCGGGGGAGCCGACGGAGTACCGGCTGGGGCCGCTTCACGCCGCTCCAGGCCATGTTTACCCGCCGGCCGCAGACAATAAGCCGCCGGCTGCAGCTGGCGCGATAAAAAAGCGCGCGCCCGAGGCGGCCCAGACGGAGCGGAGGCGGCGAGCCGGCGCCTAATGAGCGCATAAATCTCGGCAAAAGTGTAAACAGAGCGGCGAAGAACAACGGGCTGCGCATCACCCGGAAAGCGGGCTCGCAGAGCGACGGACACGCAGACGTCTGGAGGCGGCGTGCACGAACGCGATCAGGCCGCCCCGAACACGGACGAGACACACTGGACCAATCAGAAAAGATTTCGGCGATTGCATGCACAATTATTGATGTACATTCCGACACGGGCTCTGAGAGCGTGCAAAGACCCCTGACTAGAGTTCGGCGCGCCGTGCCTTGATCCTGCACAGTCGCCTGCGCGCCGGGCAGCGAGCTCAGCGCCGTGACGTCACACGCGGTGTTGTGTTCCCCGCCGCAGCACGTGGCAACGGACGCCGCCCGGGCGGCCACACTGAATACGGTATCACATTGAGGCGTCCTGCCGCCGGAGATCAGCAGCGCGCCGTCACACCTCTGTGCCGTCTTCGCCCTCGTCCTGTAGGACGGCCGTCGGACCGCCGCCGTTCAGCTGCGGCTTGGGCAGCACCGGCGGCGACACCTTTTTGGGCTTGAGCGGCGGCTGCGGCCGCGGCCGCGCCGCCGGCGCACCGTTGAACGGTGGTGGTGGTGGCGGCGGCGGCGGCGGCGGCGTCTCGTCCGCCTCCTCGGGCACCTCACGCAGCGGCTCGATGAGATCGGTGCTGAGCGAGCGCTGGCGGCCGGCGCCGGCGCCGGGCCGCGGGCCGCGACCGTTGCGCGGCAGCGTACTGAACAGCGCCGTCTCGGGCACCGCCTCCACCGGCAGGTAGTAGGCCGGCAGACACTCGACGCCCACGCTCGTCAGACTGAGCCGGGAGCTGCCGTCGACGGTGGTGCGCGGCCCGAGCGTGTCGTACACGGGGTCGGATGGCGCCGGCGAGCCGCCCGCCCAGCTGGGCGTGCGCGGCCGGCGCGGCAGCGTCACGTAGCCGGGTCGCGCCGTCAGCGAGCAGCGCTGCCGCGGCGCCAGCACGGCCGGCCCGGCCAGCGCCGTGGCCAGCCGCGCGTCCGCCGATGCCGGCGCGCGGCGCGGCAGGTGCAGCAGGTCTGGGTAATCGCGACGCGGATCGTCCAGCGGCAGTGTAGCGTCCGGCAGGCTGCGCCGGCGCGCCGCCGTCGCCGCCGTCGCCTCCTGGCCCGTTGGGTTGCACATGACGCTGCTGCTAGGCTCGCCGAGGCCGGCCGGCGCGCGCAGCCGCTCCATCTCGACGTCGGTCTGCGGCAGCTTCTCGTACTCGCCCATGCGCGCCGGCTTCTGGTTCATGACCAGCACCTGGTCGGCGGCGCCGGCCGCCTCCTTGTCGGCGGCGCGCGCGCCGCGCCGGCAGCAGCAACAGAACAGCAGCAGCAGCAGCAACAGGAGCAGCAGCAGACCGGCGCCGCCCGCCAGCAGGCCGACTAGCAGCGTGCCGCTGACCAGGCCAGTGCCGCCCGGCGTCGCCGCCGCCGCCGTGCGGAACACCAGCGTCACGTTATGCTCCACCACGCCGCCCGGGTTGGAGCCGACGCACAGGTACTGGCCGGCGTCCTGCTCGGTGACGCGCGTGATGGTCAGGTTCGTCCATCGGTTGACGTTGCCCTCCTCGTGAATGATGTACTGCTGGTTGGTGAACGGGATCTGCGTGTTATTGTGCAGAATGCGGCCGGGGCCGAGCACCCACTTGGTGGCGGCGGCCGGGTTGCCGGAGATCTGGCAGCGCAGCGTCACGTTCTGGCCGACGTCAGCCACCACGGTCGGCTCCGGGATGTGGATGTGCGGCCGGCAGGCGAACTCCTCAGAGCGCGCTGCGTTCCAGCGCTTGCCGACCAGCCGTTCGGGCTCGACGCAAGAGGTGCCCTCCTGGTACAAGTTGTGCTCGATCAGCCAGTCGCGGAACAGCCGCAGGTGACAGTCACAGCGCCAGGGGTTGTCGTGCAGCGTCAGCGCTTTCAGCTTGTTCAGCGACTGGAAGATGTCCGACTCGAGCACCGCCAGCTTGTTGCCGTCCAGGTTCAGTTTCGTGAGGTTCGGCAGTTTTTTGAAAGCGCGCGGCGCGACCGAAGCCAGCCTGCAATGGCTGAGGTTGAGCTGCTGCAGGTGCGGCAGCGCTGGGAACTGCAGCGGCTTCAGCTCCAGCAGCGGGTTACCAGCCAGCGAGAGCCGGCGCAGCTTCTCGTTGTCACTGAATGTCTCGATGTCGACGTTGCTCAGCTGATTTTCAGCCAAGTCGAGCTCCACCAACAGGCTGAGTCCACTGAAGGCGCGCTTGTCCAACTGGCGCAGGCCGACGCCACGCAGGAACAGCTTCTGCAGGTGCTGCAGGCCGGCCTGACTGAGCGCGTCTCGGTGGAGCCGCGGCACGCGCCAGCCCGATAACTCCAGCACCTGGGTGTCGGAGCTGAGGCCACGCGGCAGGCCCTCCTCCGCGCCGTCCGTGCAGCGCGCCTGCTTCTTGCCACCGACCCAGACGCATTCGCATCTTTCCGGACACTCGGTCACAAAATCAGCGCGGCCGGGCGCGACGGCCAGCAGCGCCAGCGCCAGCACCAGCAGCACCGGCGGCGCCGGCGCCAGCGTCAACATGGCGGCCCGGCGGCTGACGAGCGCACTGACCAGCCGCTCAGCGTCCGGACGTGATCACGGCAGCCCTGCAACACAGCGCCCGGACGTGATCACGGCAGCCCTGCAACACAGCGTCCGGACGCGATCACGGCAGCCCTGCAACACAGCGTCCGGACGCGATCACGGCAGCCCTGCAACACAGCGTCCGGACGTGATCACAGCAGCCCTGCAATACAGCGTCCGGACGCGATCACGGCAGCCCTGCAACACAGCGTCCGGACGCGATCACGGCAGCCCTGCAACACAGCTTCCGGACGCGATCACAGAAGTCCTGCAACACAGCGTCCGGACGCGATCACGGCAGCCCTGCAACACAGCGCCCGGACGCGATCACGGCAGCCCTGCAACACAGCGCCCGGACGCGATCACAGCAGCCCTGCAACACAGCGTCCGGACGAGATCACGGCAGCCCTGCAACACAGCATCCGGACGCGATCGCGGCAGCCCTGCAACACAGCGTCCGGACGCGATCACAGCAGCCCTGCAACACACCCCCACATACACCCGCACGGTCAGTACACGGATGTGCTGAACACTGCGCAACACCGCGAGCGGGGCAAAACACGGACCGAAGGCAGCACTGAGTGACCACGCGCAGAAAAGCTGGGCGTCCCGCGAAAATCTCTGGACTGCACGCTCTATGTCGTTTTATGACGCGTTCTGGAGCAACGGAGGATAATCAGCACAAAAGTTCCAATGCCATTGCAATGAAAGCGCGACTGTAGCACGGCGGTTTCCAAGGACCGGTCAAAGAACTGTGAGGACCTCTCGCCTAGCGGTGTGAACCACATCTTAAAGCTCAATGCATTACGAGGATTGCAATAAAAACTGGAGAGAGTCAGAAAGAGCGAGAAAGAAAACGAGGGAGAGTGAGAGCGAGAGAGAAACACAGCAGAGGAGAGAGAGAGAGAGAGAGAGAGAGAGAGAGAGAGAGAGAGAGAGAGAGAGAGAGAGAGAGAGAGAGAGAGAGAGAGAGAGAGAGAGAGAGAGAGAGAGAGAGAGAGAGAGAGAGAGAGAGAGAGAGAGAGAGAGAGAGAGAGAGAGAGAGAGAGAGAGAGAGGAGAGAGAGAGAGAGAGGAGAGAGAGAGAGAGAGAGAGAGAGAGAGAGAGAGAGAGAGAAGAGAGAGAGAGAGAGAGAGAGAGAGAGAGAGAGAGAGAGAGAGAGAGAGAGAGAGAGAGAGAGAGAGAGAGAGAGAGAGAGAGAGAGAGAGAGAGAGAGAGAGAGAGAGAGAGAGAGAGAGAGAGAGAGAGAGAGAGAGAGAGAGAGAGAGAGAGAGAGAGAGAGAGAGAGAGAGAGAGAGAGAGA